TACAGTCACAAATTGTGCTCTGTTCACATTACGATATATGCATTCATTTGCACCTGCTGACATTCCATAGTCTCGTGTAGTGACAGTAATTTTCCAGTCAATCAGTTCTACAAATCCTTCCTTTATGTATGGTAGTAATACCTGCTTGATGTCATCCCCAAGTTGATCATGCTGTATCTGTATAGTGATGATTGCAGCTCCCATTGCTCTGTTGATCTCAACCCAATTGATCACTTCTTCAGGTGTAACACGTCCAAACAGACCCTTTTGTGTACAAGCAGCAAAAACCCCTTCTCTGGGTCTCTGGTCGTAGAACACAGGCATCTTAGGCAGCATATCTTTCCTACATTCTTTATCAGTGGTTAGTTCAATGTATGGAGGTACTTCATTAAGAGCTACTGAGTCTTTGATTCGTAAGAGATAAGCAACATAAGTCTCAGGGGGTAGTATGTCCTCTCTTACCCAACCCACTTGCTTCCATTTAGATACTTTTAAGCAATGGAATACCCTGTCCTTATTATAACTGTCACTGCTAGTTTGTGGTATCCTTGCATACAAGTTTAGTTTTTCTTCCTTAATGGCATCGTGGTGCATAGAAATTATCACTATTTGAGGACCAAAGTATTTCCTAGAATCAAAAAATACAGTTCTTCGAATCTGCATGTTGAAAAGAAAAGGGAAATACATGACAGTAAACTGAAGTGAACTAAGTAAACATGTAAAATACACATGTCAGCCTTTCATGATGCATTAGTGTATCTGGCATATCATGTTATGATGACAAAATTCAATGTATGTAAATTATGTTTTTGTCTGAAGATAATAATGAGAAACCACAAGGGAATTTAAGTCTATCTTGAGTTCCATCAATTTAGCACTTAAACTTGCTAAATTCATTACAGACTGTTCACAGTCTACATGTACACATATCTACATGTCTACAATTATCTAATTCAAGTTTGAACAAGTTGGTGTAAAATAAGCATGTGTGTTGGCACAACTGCCTTTGGGTTTTGTTTATTTTAAATCTCTTACCAGATGTGATGAGCATTAAGTTAAACTTACTATTGTCATCTTTTCTGGATCCAAGTCTATCCAGAGGTCACTGTGGCTTGATGGATGATCGGGAGAAATTTTTTGGGACAGGGAACCAGGACTGACGGCCTTCTTTTGATGCGCATAAACAACTGGATCTATCACTGGTAGCTGCTGTTGTCTGCTTGTTGTTTGCGGATCCAGGTGACGCCATAAGGGTACCAATAATATCACAAAAAGCAGGAGGAAAATAGCGAAGAGGATGAATCTCCTTGTACACCTGTCTATCTGCTGCATAATAGATGAAAGTAAACTAACTAGATCTACTAAATCATAAGCATAGATAGTATGCTAAAGGTCGTACTCGTACAGCTGCGGCGGGCCGTACCGGTAAAGTAGATAGGCGTGGTAAGAGGAGTGGTTCGACTTGAAATAAAAATGGGGGAAAGAAAAGTATTAAATGTAAGCTTTAATAGATTATGTTTAGACCCACTTTACTTCTTAATTCTCTATGTATTCCATATTATATTTTTAAAAATTTATTCTTTCTCTAGAAATACTATCCTCCTGATTTAGAGAATTTCAAACTACCCAAGCTAAACCCAAACCGCTGTAAACAGTATGTCGTTCGATTAATGATACCATTTACCATGAGATGCAAGACGTGTGGTAATCACATATATCACGGAAAGAAATTCAACGCGAGGAAGGAGACAGTCGAGGGTGAGAAGTACCTTGGTATGCCAATCTTTCGATTCTACATACGCTGTCCTGTGTGCCTCTCAGAGATATCATTCAAAGTAATTTTAATGCATTATTTAATGGCTTGAACATGTTCATTGCCAGTAGCACTATTTTTTGTAATTAATTTAATTTAATTTTGTTTTTGTTGGAATTAAAATTGAGACATTTTTCAGGATAGCTTAAGTGCATTGAGTAACAGTTTGATTTTTTATTATTAATATTTATTATTTGACAGTTTATTGTGGCTCACAGGACCATTAATATAATTTATCTTTTGGTTATACATTAACCAATTTTTATTTTACTGTCTGATACATATTGATGTCCTTATACTGTGTAGAAAGATTCTGATTTCAATTTTTTGAGTTATGGCTATTTTTAAAGATTAGCAAATTTTTGGAAAAAGCAAAGGCTATAGTCCATGCTTTTTTTTCCCGTAAAATAGCTCCAAAATTACCCCAAATTTTTATTACATTTTCTGATACACATTGATGCCCTTATGCTGTGTAGAAAGTTTGAGCTATTTCTGACAAGTAATCTTTGAGTTATGAGCATTTTTAAAAACGAGCCAGTTTTGGAAAAAAGCAAATGTATTATTATTATGCTCCTTTGTGTAAATTACCGTATCTTTTTCAATGAGATTTGAGGGTGATGACCCGATTTAAAAGGCTATAGCCCATGGTTTTTTCCAAAAAATGGCTCCGAAATTACTCCCAATTTTTATTACATTTTCTGATACATATTGATGTCCTTATGCTGTGTAGAAAGTTTGAGTTGATTCTGACTTCAATTTTTTGAGTTATGACCATTTTTTTAATTAGCAAATTTTTGGGAAAAAATTTCCAAAAATGGCTCCAAAATTACTCCCAAATTTTATTACATTTTCTGATACATACTGATGTCCTTTGCTATGTTGAAAGTTTGAGTTGATTCTGACTTCAATTTTTTGAGTTATGGCCATTTTTTAAATTAGCAAATTTTTGAAAAAAAGCAAAGGCTATAGCCCATGGTTTTTCCAAAAAATGGCTCCGAAATCACTCCCAATTTTTATTACATTTTCTGATACATATTGATGTCCATATGCTATGTAGAAAGTTTGAGTCGATTCCGACTTCAATTTTTTGAGTTATGGCCATTTTTTTAATTAACAAATTTTTGGAAAAAAGCAAAGGCTATAGCCCATGGTTTTTCCAAAAATGGCTCAAAATCACCCCCCCCCCCCAATTTTTATTACATTTTCTGATACATATTGATGTCCATATGCTACATGTATGTTACTCGGAGTCATAGTCAATGCTATATTATTAAAAATTACTATAATATACTGTAGTTCATTACTCTGTCTTTCTTTATCTCATATATTATTCCTCCTTCCTTATTCATTAGACAGATCCAGAGAATATTGACTATGCTGCTGAGGCTGGTGCTTATAGAACATTTCAAGCAGAGGCCATTGCTGTGAGAGAGATTGAGCGCAAGCAACAAGAGAAAGAAGAAGAGGAGGCCAACAACCCAATGCTGGTATAATAGTTCAATCACAATAATTAGTGTTTAAACTAGAGTAGAAAGTCTGATCTTTGTATTGTAGATTTTTGTAGTTTTTTAAAAATTCTTCTAGATGATTAATACCTTAATTTTATTCAATGGTTAATTGTCTTATTTTATCCCAAACTTTTCTCCCTCCCTCCCTCTCTCTCTCTTCTTCATTAGGCATTAGAAAACAGGACCAAAGAGTCAAGGAGAGAGATGGACATTCTTGACGTGCTTGAAGAGATAAAGGACATAAACGCTCAACAAGAAGGAGTCTCATTTGAACAACTAATGGAGAAACACCTCGAGAAAGAGAGGGAAGAGTCACAAGAAGAGGAACAGATTGTTGATGCACTTGCAAAGTAAACCATTAACAAACAACCTCACCTGTGAACAATATGTACACACACACACTGTGGTAGTGTAATATAATAGCTAATATATAGCCCATTTTTGTGGAGAGTGTACATGAAGAATGGTCCTTAGGTTCACTAATAATAGTAGACTTGAATGGAGTATGAATGGTCTCATTGTGTGTATACACATGATAAGCTAATCCTAGTCTTACCTCTCACTGGCTGTACA